AATTCAACATTAACTTGATTTTTCCAGCTGGTTAAAAGGGCTCATGTTATCAAGTTTTATTTAAAAAGCAATTAAAACTACCGCAGTTATAGGACTTTAAATTAGTTCATTTCAGTGAAAAACTTTGGGTAATTTAAGCATACTCTTAATAGACGAAAATGGTGTCTTAAAATGAAGTCAAAAACAAATGTTTCTATGCATTTTTTTTCCAAACAAAATTAAAATTGATTTCTAACTAATCAAAATTTCGCGCCACAGATTCTTTCACTTGTAATAATAATATTCTAACTAAAGAGCATTTAATTTAAATTAGAGTTGCTACATACTGCGTATAAATTTAAGTTAGCTATACTGCTTCCTATTATAACTTTACTCCTTACATTATAAAAATCTTTTGGTATGCTTATATTACCCGAACCTTATATTATAATAGTATAAAAATAACGGCATAAATAAAACACTAAAAAAGTGCTTGAAATAAAAGACTACAACTATTCTTGGGAAAAAAAACAGCAAAGAAAAAATAGGCAAATATTCAAAAAATGTTCAATATACCTTTAATATTTAAATAAAATATGTTTTATATTCTAAAATAAAACATATTTATAAATAATTATAATATAAATTTTATAAATGAAATTTTAAAAACTCACAGTTTTTATAATTTATGTCAGTGCATTGCAAATTAAAAATAGAAACTGAAATATGAATAATACTAAATATATATGGGACAATAATAAATAATATTCAATGCATACAAATCAATTACACAAGCAATATTCTATATTAAGTCTATGAATTTCATCAAACCAAATAACAACAAAGATACATTAATAAAAACAGTAAATATATATTAATAAATACAATACAAAACATATATTAATAAAAACAGTAAACATATTAATAAATACAAACAAAAACATATCTTCTATATAATATTGCCGAACTTAATAGTTTTAATAGTAGTAGTAGTGTCCCTTGGAGCGTATTTGACAAGAAACCCTTGGCAGCCATTGTAACCGAGGTATTGGCAAGAAAGAGTCACAGCACTATAAGAAAACGTGAACGAATATCTAACGTACGTAAACTTTAAACTAATGTTAAAGCATATGTTAAAACATACTGAAACATTTATCACGTTTTACAGTTTGATTTTTACTTGAAAATTACATTGCGTCAACCTCTCCTTAATTTTGATCTAACATTTTTTTCCTCAAAAAAATTACTACATTATTATAAAATCTAAACTTGATGATATGGCGGTGTAGCTCGAGTGGATAAGGCGGCGAACTTCTGAACAAGTAACTAGATGTTCGACTCCTGCCAAAGGTGGCTATTTTTTTTAATTTTTTTAATTATTTTAAAATACAAAATACTTTCGAAGTTTTATAAAGATTATATACAAACATATGTAACGTAACGATATTATGCACTCACAAAAGAAAAGATTTTAAGAATGTTAAAACTTCATAAAACATTAAAAAAAAAAAAAAAAAACATCACCAGGAGAAAAAATATGTTGCGTATCTATGATAATTGAGACACTTATGTTATTAATGTGCGAATGTAATTAGTCCTAATAAGCTGCGAATGGTCTGAAAAAAAAGTTGTCTGAAACTTAATAAAAAAAAAACTTAACAAGACAGCCCTGCTACTTCATAAGATGCTGCTGTGAAGGCAAAAAAAAAAAAGCCTGTAGCTAGATAAAACTTTGAAACTTTCTTTTGACAATTAAAAGTTTATTTTGCTACATTAACTTTTTTACTATAAATATATGCAGCAACTGTTTTTCAAAACGCCTTAATATGCTTATGACGTAATTCAACAAAAACCCAATTAAAAATAAAATTGTTTGGAAAAACTCTTTGTAAAACGTTTTTTGAAACGAATAACTTTTATTTAGTTTTTTTTTTCTTTTGTGCAACTTTCTTTTCAATAAATTTCTTTACCTTTCAGAATATGACCATTTTTAACAATGCTATAGAAAAAATATCAGTAAATTGATTAGTAGTATTTCAATTATATTAATTAGATTAAATTGTATATATTAAGTTATATATTATATGTATTAAATTAAATAAATAAATAAATTGAAATTTAGTTAATACATGGGTATTTTTTTTTTTTTTTTTTTATACTTAGTGACAAAATAGACTAATTAGATAAGTCGTTAAGTAGAATGCTAAAAATATATTTATGGCGGTTATTGTTGTTAAGGGTGATTAATAGGCAAATAAATTAAAAGCTAATCAAGGCTTCGAATAAATTATAAACTAATCAGGGAAGTTTTATTGGTAAACCTAATAAATAGGAAGATAACATATAATTCAGGTAGACATTGTTTTCACTTTTTCGACAAACTTTGATATCTTTGATATTAAAAAATATGAACTTTCCAATAATTATAGATGGTAGTGCATTAACCTTTTTTTTCGGGACCCTAATCCGTTATGATTTGTATTTTGTCAATGTGAACGAAAGTCTATTCAAATATCTAAATATGTAAACTTTAAGTTCTTTAGTTATCAATCAGTATTATTATAAAGTAGATGACATCAAATACTACCGATTTATTTTTACTTAATAATTTCATTGCGACAATATCTCTTTATTTTAAAGCATTAAATGTTGTTTTTTAAAGTTTAATAAGTTTTCTGTTTATTAAATAGTGTAAAAAGATGATATAGCATTCCACAGCGATTGAAGTGCTTCGCTTCGGTTCAAAACCTTTTGCTCACACAATTTTTTTTTTAAATCCTATCCAGTTTTTTAGAAAACAAAGAAAAACAAGTTTAAATGCAAATAGATGTTATACGCATTACATAAAAATAAAGATATAATATACTATAAGAAACCAAACGGAGAGAATTTTTTAAAACGTTTTTTAAAATTTTTAAAAACATAAAAACGCTGTTGGAAATTTGTTGCGCATATATCATGATAGAGATACTTATGTTTTAAGTAATTAGTTAAAACTGCGAGTTCAACACACATTAAAGAGATAAATTTCTTTCTTATATATATAAAAAAAAAGGTTTTACATGCAATCTGAAATTTTTATTAAAACTAACTGGTCAAAAGTCTTAAAAAGTATGGAAAGGTATGAAAAAAAAATTGTAATCTGAAACCTAAAAAAAAAAAATTTAGTTACTCCAGAAGGTGACAAACAGAAAACCCACAAAATTTCGCCTAATCCGCTAATAGAAATGCTCGAATATCAAATATTAATTGATTTTTGTATTACGAAACGTACGCCAACTCTTAAACCAATGTAAAACTACCTTGCGGTTATCTAATTATATCCACCAAATCCGTTAATAAAAACAGCTTAATTAATAGATTCAAAACCATCTGATTTTTGTATTATGATATGTGCGCCAACTGTACTCTAAAACCAACAAAACTCGGCCATGTGGTCTTCATATCGATTATAACAATTGCAAAGCGAGGGACGACAAGTAAGTTGTATCTACAAGTTTAATTATTGTAATTTTCATTTAAAAAATTAAACTTATTTTATAATTACCATGTTAATATGTTTGAAGTTAATATGTTTTTGACCCAAGAATAAACATTAAGATTATTTTTTAGAAATGAGCAGCCAAGATACAGAAGGTATTCTTTTAATTTTGTATAACATCAATTAATTAAAGAGATAAAAAGAGATGATACGTCAATAATACTGAGATATTTAGCTTATTATTTTATTAAGAAATTACATTAAGATAATTTTGTATATCTTTAGGCGACGAAGAAGTTTCTGCATTTTTTCGAAGTAAGTCATATATATATACTATATATAGTAGCAGTTACATATGTTCTAAAAGTGGCGGAGCTGTACTTGATTTACGGTGTGAATAAAACGATGATTTAATTTAGCCGATTTTAATTAAAATCAACCAAGATATGCCGCCCTTCCCTAACCCCGTGAATCAAATTTAACTAAAATTAAAAAATATATAAATTAATTTTTGGAACTTTAAAAGGGTAGACCCAAAACTCAGTTTTTGTTTATTCCGCTATTTTGATTGATGTTTTTGTAAAGCAGTGAACCTTAAAAACGCGTATAAACTTTATTTAAGGTGTTTAAGCTATAATTTTATAAAACGTGTTTAAGCTAAAATTGACTTTTAAGTCTTCTAACTACTAAACTTTTACGTAAAATGAAACTTTTTGTCATTTACTGAATGTGTTAAATTATAAAACTGTGCAACAGTTTTATAATTTAAGACAAATCTTATATGTTTAATTGAAAAAGTTAATATTTGGAAAATTAATTTTGTCTATATATATATTAGATATTCAAGAGATCAGAGCCGAAGAGCTCTTGCCAAGTAAGCTAATTTTGTATGAGAAGGATATGTTACAAAGATATATATTTCACCAATTTCAGCAATTTTTTAATTATAACTTTTTTTTAATGTTTAGCGGAAGTAATGGACAAGCTAAGTGAGGAATTTTGTTGTTGTTTTTTGTTGTTTTTTTTTGTGTGCAAATACATTTATGCTTTTTTAGTTTTTTTAAAGTTATTTAGCAACTGACTTTTGTCAGTTGTGACAGTTTGTCAGTCAGCAAGTGACTTTTGTAACTTTTAAATTTATTTTATTTAGAAAAATTAGAAGATTCTGTTGAGAATCTAAGTAAGCAATTTGTTATTGTTGTTGAAATGCTCTTAATTTTTTTTATTACATATTTATTTAACATAAAGTTATTCTATATTTGGCAAGTTAGTTTATTTTAATGTTTAAGTTTTTCATTTTATTTAGAAAAATTAGAACATTCAATTCTCCTTGCATGAAAGATGGAGTTTGCACAAAAAAATTTCCTAAAGAGTTTAATCCTTGCACTGTTGCAATTTTTAATGGTTATCCTAACTACAGGCGTTTAGATAATGGTAGAGTAGTCATTATAAAGGTAACCAAGTTGATAATCGATGGGTCGTACCCTATAACCCCTGGTTATCAAAAAAATACCAAACCTACATTAATGTTGAAGCTTTCATGTCTATTAAGTCAGTGAAGTATTTATACAAATATGTCTATAAGGGGCATGATTGTGCGAATGTGGTAGTTAATGAAAGTGTTGACCATGATGAAATTAACACATATTTAGATTGTCGCTTTGTTTCCGCCCCAGAGGCTCTTTGGCGAATATATGAGTATTCCATAAGTGATATGTCACATACTATTATCCGCCTTCAAATCCACCTTCCTGATAATCAGAGAGTATATTTTAACGAAGGAGAAGAACAAGTAGCTATAGATCGTGCAGCACAGCGTGACACTCATCTAACTGCTTGGTTTAAGTTAAATGCTGAAAATAATGAAGCACGTCAGTATTCTTATGTTGAAATTCCATATCACTTTGTTTTTGGTAAAAATTGCATGTGGAAAGTAAGACAAAGAGGTAGTGATAAGGTGGTTGTTTGAATGTATAAAGTCAGTTCATTTTGCGAATTATTTTTTCTCAGATTGTTACTTTTACATGTAAAAGGTGCAAAGTCTTTTGAGGATTTGCGTACTGTTCATGGTACTGTTTTTAATACATTTCGTGAAGCATGTTATCATTTAGGTTTATTGCAAGATGACATTGAGTGGAGAAATACATTAACTGAAGCTGCTGCAACTCGGATGCCTAAACAAATTAGGCTACTGTTTTCCATCATATTAACTTTATGTGAACCTGATGATCCTTTACAACTTTGGAATACATTTAAAATTATATGGTTGAGGATTACATACACCATTCAATGCCAGTCGTACTTGCTGAGCAGACAGCTCTTTGTCAAATTGAATCTATAATTAATCAGAGTGGTAAAACCTTAGCTGATTATAATTTGCCAGCTTTAGATCAGTTTTTAGATAATGTCCCAGAAAATGATGATGAAGATGTTCAGGTGTTTATTGATGAAGCAAACCGAGTTAGACCATTATTGAATGATAATCAGCGTAATGTAGCTGATGCGATCCTTGCTGCACTAAGTGTAGAACCTACTAATGAAAATAAGCATTCAAGGTTGTTTTTTATGGATGGGCCTGCCGGTTGTGGTAAAACATTTACTTACAATTATTTAATTTCTGAAACACAGAGCAGGCATATTAGAACTGCAACAGCTGCATGGACTCTTCTCAAAAATGGGAGCACAATGCATGGCTTATTCAAACTTCCTGTTCCAATTTTGGAAACTAGCACATGTAATGTAACTCCAAACTCTATTCATGGTAGATTCCTGAGACAAATCAGTTTGTATTTACTTGATGAAGCATCTATGATACCCAAATATGCTTTGAGTGCCATTGATAAGCTGTTACAAGATATTTGTAATAACAACTTTCCTTTTCGTGGTAAGGTTATTCTTATGGGTGGAGACTTCAGACAAATACTTCCAGTTGTAAAGCGAGGTCGACCAGCAGAAGTTATAGAATCATGTTTAAAATGTTCTGAACATTGGCAATATGTGCAAAGGTTCTCATTAACTGTAAAGATGAGGGTTCAGATAGAAGAAGAGGAATTTTCTCAATGGCTTTTAAAGCTTGGAAGTAGAACATTACCTGTCAAGCCTGAAGATCCTTTGCGAGGGTGTATTGAAACACCTGAGCAGTGCTTTCTCAGTGATAATGAATCTATTGTGGAGAAGATTTTCAGTGGTGCAGAAGAAGCTGATTATGCAAAACGTGCTATTTTAACGCCAACAAATGTTGATTCATTGGCAATATATGAAGAAGTCCTTCATCGTTTACCCGGTGATGTGAAAACATATTTAAGTTCAGATAGCATTGATACTGATGATCTTAATGAAATTAATAACTTTCCAGTCGAGTTTTTAAATAGTTTGACTCCATCAGGTATGCCTGTTCATTGCCTAAAATTAAAAATTGGTGCTGTTATAATGCTACTTAGAAATTTAGATCTCAAAGGTGGACTTTGTAATGGAACCCGTTTGATGGTGCGTGCATTACACAACAATTATATTGATGGTGAGGTTTTAACAGGTGTATCAGCTGGTAACAGGGTATTTGTTCCTTTAGTTCAATTAGCTCCATCAGATGCAAATTTACCTTTTACAGTTAAACGCCGTCAGTTTCCAGTTTGGTTAGCATACTCAATGACCATAAATAAAAGTCAAGGTCAAACAATTGAAAAAGTTGGTGTTATCTTAAAAAGCCTTGCTTTTCACACGGCCAATTATATGTTGCATGTTCAAGAACAAGATCATTTAATAGTTTGTTTTTCAAAGTTGATAAACATCCATTACAAGGTTTGTCATTTAACAAACATTACACAAATAATGTTGTCTTTACAAATGTTCTTAATTTATAATTTTGACAAGTATATTATGTGTTATATGTGTTTTATATTTTTTTAAGTTTTTTTTTTTTTTTTTTTTGCTATATGTGTATATAAATGTATGTGTTTATATGCGATTATATATCTTTATTTATATTTATGTGCTTAAGTTTATACAAGTTTATATTAAGTAGTTTCCATGTGAAAAGTGGTGTTACTTGGCAACGTGTAGTGCAAGATTGTGATTCTTGCTAGCCAAGCGGTGTTACTAATTAGTGGTGTTACTTGGCACTTAATGCCAAGCGGTGTTACTAAATTGTGGTGTTACTTGGCAGCGTTTAGTGCCAATTGGTGTTACAAGTGTTGAGCAAGGTTGTGTTGTCTAGCTTTTTTAATTATTCTGGAAACACATTCTGAATATTTTGTGTTATGTGCAAATGTGTTATGTACAAATATTTGATGCTATGTGTATTCAGTAGCATAGGCAGGGTCTTTTGATGCTTCAGATAGCACTTTCAACCAAACTTAAGTGTATTCACGTTTATAGAATTAAAATACTTTGCAAAAAATTGATGTTGTTAAAGCTTAGGAACAAATGTTTAAAAAAAGTGTTTTTCCTAACCTGAATTTTTTTAGACATAACAAAGTTAAACTCTTCAACAGCTTCTAAATATATATCTGAAACAACAAAAATTCTGCCTACACTACTGGTGTTATTGTTTGTCATCTTGTAATGTTGTTGTGATGTTCTGTGTTGATAGACAGCTTGGCTTACCTTCACGTTGGTGTCTATCGTTAAAAATGATGAATTGGGTAGCTTCATTACTGAAACTTACTCCTAATCATTCACTAAAAGCCAAGTAATATTTTAAGAAAAAATGCCTAATTTTTTTGTGTCAGTAAGAATTTTTATCTTTAGCAATGCTGATAAAACTGAATTTTTTTAAAAAAAGAGTATTTCCAGCCTTCCAACCAAATATTAGAGACTTTTACAAAAGCACTCTCACAAAGTAAGTGTCTAATATTTATTTAATATTACTAAATTTCGTTTCAAATTTTTCATTTTTCAAATGAATTAACATAAAACAAATAAATGTGCATTCAGTGTTATCAATAATGATTTTATTTCATTTTTAGATAATGCTTTTATAATCAGTTTAAAAGTCTTTCAAATCGTTAATCATTTTTCTAAAGGCGAAGAAGAAGAATCATTAATCTTCATACCATTTAATAAAGCTATTTTAATAAAACGCAATACAAATTGTTGTAAATTAATATTTGAATAATTTTCACATTGTTACTTTATTTTGCAGTTTCCTATCATTTTGTACTGAATTAACTAAATCCAATATTACAGTTCCTTTTATCAAGTACTTCACATTTTCTGTTTTTGTTTTTGCAGAAAAACAGATCAAGTTAATTTATTTGACTTGCCTAGCTACTTATTTTACACGCCTAACCACAGTGAGTGTGCATAAATCAACAGAGTATTTGGGTTTGGGCAGGTTGTCTTGAACTAAATGATTTACCTTCTTCATGTTAAGCTCTAAATATAAATATACGGAAAAGGTGCATATGTGAACTTTTTTTTTCTAGCACATAATCTATTGTTCACTCAAAAATATTAGAGGGAGAAATAGAGATAAGGTTTATGTGGAATAGAGTTTGTCCTTTTAAGTGAAAAACTTTTTTATAATCTATCTATCTTCTATATAATAATGCCGAACTTAATAGTAGTGTTAGTAGAAAGAGTCACAGCACTTTTTTTAGAAGAAAACGTGTATGCAAATATCTAACGTACATAATTAAGTAATGATAAAACATATTGAAACATTTTTCAAGTTTTATAGTTTGACTTTGACTTAAAAATTGCATTGCGTCAACCTCTCCATTAAAAACCAATTCCGTTAAAAACAATTTTTATATATTTTTAAAATTTCGATATTTGATGTGTCAGCATGGCCGAATGGTTAGCGCGCTAAGCTTCTGAACGTAATAGTCGTGGTTCAAATTTACCACCAGTGATTTTTTTCTTTAAATTACAAAATATTTGTGAAGTTAAACAAGTTAAATGTTATACACTTTAACCGTTTTTTCTTTTTAAATTTTATAAATTTTTTGGATTTCTAAAAACACCAATACACGAGGCGAAAATTTGTTGCGTGTGTGTCACGATTTTGATACTGTTCTCACATAATTGGTTCTAATAAGCTACGGATAGTCTTAAAAAAAAGGTCCTAAAACCTAATAAAGAAAAGTTTGATAAAACCGTCCTGCTCCTCCACATGGTATTGCAGTGGAGGCAGGGGAAAAAAAGCAATTTAAAAGTTTTTTGTTATATTTAATTTTTTGCTATAAATATAGCCAGATTAAAAAAATTATAAAAAATGTATTGAGACTTTTTAGGCGCGTTGCACAGCGAATCTGATGACAGCGCACTTAACTTGTGAGCTATCAAAGTTATGCATGTAGTTAGGCGCTTCAACATTTTTTTAAAAATGTAAAATGAAAACAAAATAAATACCATAAGTAAGAGCTAAATAAAAACGTTTAAAAATTACCAAACTTTTTGTTATATTAATATTAGTTTTTCAATTTTTAAACCACAAAATTTATAATTTATTTTTTTGCATGACTTTTGACGCTTTTAGCGACTATCGTTTTAAAGAATTGCATTACCGTTTCCGTCTAATACAAAGGTAACTATAAAAGACCGTTATTATTCAAAACTAAGCATATAATAATAATAGTAAATATAGTAAATAGTAACTATTGAAAATGGCTAGGACGCGACCATAAACTATGGTCCATGGCTGGTCTAAATTTAGGAAGTAGTTTAGTTCAGAATTTAAAAAAAAAATTAATAAACGGGGTTTAATAAGCTATATACGTATGCGGAAAAAGTGCGTATGTTAAAGTTTTTTTTTGCTCTCAAAGCAAAATTTTTTGATGAATCTTTTTCCACCGTTTACTAAAAAATATTGAAATAAATAAGGAACAAGTAAAGAAATGATTGGCGTGGAATAAATAAATATAGAAGTAGAAAAGACCTGTATTTACCGATACGGACAGCTAGATTAAGAAAATAAGGGAAAAGGTTTGTGTGGAATAGAATTACAAAGACCCGTATTTTTACGGGTCAATCCAGCTAGTATTAAATAATACAATAAACAAATATGAATAAATAAAACAAATATATTAATAGATAATATCAATATAAACGTTGTATAGTATGGTTTTGCATTTCGGGACAGTGGGGCATAACGGGACAGTTATGTCTTGTACCTCAGCTTTTTCAATTTTTTTTTTGATAAAACATTTTAAATTATTGAGCTTAATTATAGTAAAATAAAACTCATTTTAAAAATACAAAAATGCATTAAAGTACCAAAATGCATTAGTAAGCTTGCGAAAAACAAAATTTGCGTATTTTCTTAAGCGATACAACGCCAAAAGATTTATATTGAACTATTGCAAATTTAAAAATGGTTGCGGTCCTTAACTACAGCGAACTTTAAAAATGGCTGCGGTTCTTAACTACAGCGAACACTTTATATGACAATCTTTTTATAGTTGGTTTGTTAATGGATTCTTATAAGGAATCAAGGTAAGAGGCGGGTGTAAAAAGCGTAAAAAGTACCAACTGCTTTCTTAAAAATGAAAAAAAAAAAAAAAATTTAACTCTTTGCATTGATTTGATGCTCAACGAGTTTCAGACGAGTAAACTCGAGTTGGATAATTTTTGGCTGTTATTAAAACATTTATTTATCCCTAAAAAATAATGGAAACCAATCAATAATTAGTATACACTGTTTATAATTCTTATAATAGTGCGTACTTGGCAATATATTTTTCTCTTTCATTGTATAACCTAGGAGCTTCGAGCTCGCAGTGCGATATATCGTAATCCATTGATCAAGTGCCGTGCAGCACGCGGGCTACAGAGGAATCAGGTAGCTGTTTGATTAAGAGAGATGTTTTTTAATATGATAATTAGTAACAGAGGACCTGATCTTTATAAGAATTTTGTGCGAGTGTCACTTCATTCTGTAGACGGTGTTAATATCTTTCATATTGATGAAAAAGAGCATTTGTAGCAAATATACCAGAAAGTTACAACAATATTAGAAAAACTATAAAGCGACTAAATCTTGACAGACTTAGGGCTCCGACTATTGTAATTGTAATTGTAAAAATTAAATACAATAACAATTACAATACAATAGTATTTTATTGTAATACCAGAGATGTAATCTCTAAATATTAATACTGTGAAAATTCAATGTTCAATGTTCAATGTCGTTTCGCTTTCGTTTTTAAAGCAGTTTTAATTAGTTACTAGGCTTTTCTGAACTTGAAACAGCGCGTTCTAAAAATGCACGCGGTTATTAGAGGAAGATCTTTCAACCGAGTTAAAACTTTTTACCTTAGGAATTGAATTAATATTAAGATTAGTTTAGAAATAATACATAAAGAATGATATTAAGATAAATAATCATCGATAGGATTATATTATAATAATCATTGTTAAGATCATATAAGCATTGAAAATAGTTTCGCAATTTATATATAATATTTTTTATTAAAAATAAAGTAAAAAGGATCACTCCTTTTAACTTTTTATATCGTTTACATTTTGTTTGTTTTAGTTTTTCTTTTAGCTTTATTTTTTCCTACCAGTTTTTATTGAGCATATCTTCTATTTTTTAAAAGAAAGATAGAGGTAAGATTGAGGCCTGATTATTTTTTATGCAACAAAAAAGTTATACTAATGCTATTTCAATAAAGTTGGTTATTATTACCATGAAATTTCTGTGATGCTATTAACTGTTTTTGCTCTTTTTTCGAAAATTTAGAAAAATAAATTAAAATTTCGTGCCACTACTGACATATCACATGGTTATTGTATGTAAAGATTAAATTTTTGTTATGATAATTACAGTTCTTATGAAAAAAAAGGTAAAGAGTATTGTTTGTATATAAATATTTATATTTTGTTCCCTTTGAATTTTTTAAATTTTTCTCGTGCCATTTTTAAAATTTTTGTTTGCACAATTCAAGTTATATGCTTCTTGTTTGCATTGCTTTTTTGATAATTATGTGTATATTGTAAAATGTGCTTTATAGCTTTTTTATCAATGTGTTTTTATAATAATGTAACATGTTTTTTTATTGTTTGTGTATTTGTTAATAT